TTACAGAAGTATATTATTGTTTTACGTTAATAATTTATACGAAGTGGTTCGTGAAGCTAGTCTTCAGTTGGAAAAAGGCTGGTACTACTGACCTGAAGGATATCGAAAAACTTATGGATAGCTAAAATCAAATTACCAACTCCAACTTTGGATCATCAAATGCTGTCTTATTTTAATTGTATGTCATTAAATCAAAAGTATTTTATCAATTCATTTGTCATAGAGAAGTATTTTTCATACGTAATTCATGTTTATCTTCAGCTATTATATGTCACAATAACAATTATACTAAAAGCATATGAGTTTTATAATTTGGTTGTTTGTTTTGAATTTCGCGCAAAGCTACACGACGGTTATCTGCGCTAACCGGCCCTAATTTAGCAGTGTAAGACTAGAGGGAAGGCAATTAGTCATCACCACCCACCGCCAACTTTTGGGTTACTCTTTTACCAACGAATAGTAGGATTGACCGTCACATATAACGCCCACACGGCTGAAAGGACGAGCATGTATGGTGGGGCGGGGACTCGAACCCGCGACCCCCAGATTGCGAGTCGAGCGCCTTAACCACCTGGCCATACCGGGCTATATAATTTGTATTCAAAGATTATTACGGGTTTCGATACCCGTGGTGGACAGAGCACAGATAGCCCATTGTGTAGCTTTGTGCATAACTACAAACAAATAAACAGAGATTATTAAAACCACTAGCTGTCCCTAACTTAGCAGTGATAGACTAGAGGGAAAAACATTCAACACCACCAACCACCAACTCTTGGGCTACTATATTCGAATAGTGGGATTAACCGTGAAATTATAACGCCCTCGCGGCTGGAAGGGTCAGTATGTTCGGTAATGCGATTCGAACTCATTATCTACGGGCTATTTTTAGGCCGCCTTTGTTATGATGGAAGAAAACATTTTGATTTAAAGCAACGTATATGTATTTAATGGACGAGAAAAAGATTCACTTACTTAAATAAGATAATAGCCTTCTTTTACTAACGTTAATATATGGCTTAAAAAATGTTATCATTATTGTATGTTATTTAACCCCCTCTTTCTTTTTGGAAATGCAAAGAAAATTCATTAATAGGTTAGTTTAAAAGAGATTTGATCTTTTAGTCTTGGTTTACTGTCAGTTGTACCTCAAGCAACTCGAGTTGTATCTGACACACTAGTTGTATCCTATACTATATACATATTCTAGTTGTATCCTACATTCTAGTTGTACCTTACATTCTTGTTGTATTTTACATTCTAGTTGTATCTTACATTCTTGTTGTATCTTACATTCTAGTTGTATTCGACACTCTAGTTGTCAACTAGAATGTCGAATACACATAAAATGTAAGATGCAACAAAAATGTAAGATACAACTAGAATGTAAGATACAACTAGAATGTAGGATACAACTAGAGTGTCGAATACAACTAGAATGTAGGATATAACTAGAGTGTTGAATACAACTAGAATGTAGGATTTATCCTACATTCTAGTTGTATTCAACACTCTAGTTGTATCCTACATTCTAGTTGTATCTTACATTCTTGTTGTATCTTACATTTTATGTGTATTCGACATTCTAGTTGTATCCTACATTGTAGTTGTATTCAACACTCTTGTTGTATCCTATATTTTAATTGTATTCGACACTCTAGTTGTATCTTACATTTTAGTTGTATTCGACACTCTAGTTGTATCCTACATTTTAGTTGTATTCGACACTCTAGTTGTATCCTAAATTCTAGTTGTATTCGACACTCTAGTTGTATCCTACATTCTAGTTGTATTCGACACTCTAGTTGTATCCTACATTCTAGTTGTATTCGACACTCTAGTTGTATCCTACATTTTAATTGTATTCGTCACTCTAGTTGTATCCTACATTCTAGTTGTATTCGACACTCTAGTTGTATCCTACATTCTAGTTGTATTCGACACTCTAGTTGTATCCTACATTCTAGTTGTATTCGACACTCTAGTTGTATCCTACATTCTAGTTGTATCCTACATTTTAATTGTATTCGACACTCTAGTTGTATTCTACATTTTAGTTGTATTCGACACTCTAGTTGTATCCTACATTCTAGTTATATTCGACACTCTAGTTGTATCCTACATTCTAGTTATATTCGACACTCTAGTTGTATCCTACATTCTAGTTATATTCGACACTCTAGTTGTATCCTACATTTTAGTTATATTCGACACTCTAGTTGTATCCTACATTCTAGTTGTATTCGACACTCTAGTTGTATCCTACATTCTAGTTGTATTCGACACTCTAGTTGTATCCTACATTCTAGTTGTATTCGACACTCTAGTTGTATCCTACATTCTAGTTATATTTGACACTCTAGTTGTATCCTACATTTTAGTTATATTCGACACTCTAGCTGTATCCTACATTCTAGTTGTATTCGACACTCTAGTTGTATCCTACATTCTAGTTGTATTCGACACTCTAGTTATATCCTACATTCTAGTTGTATTCGACACTCTAGTTGTATCCTACATTCTAGTTGTATTCGACACTCTAGTTATATCCTACACTCTAGTTGTATTCGACACTCTAGTTATATCCTACATTCTAGTTGTATCCTACATTCTAGTTGTATTCGACACTCTAATTGTATCCTACATTCTTAATTTTGTAAATAAATGTGGAACAGAAACTGCACTGTTTACATGATGCCAATAGACAAAATATTCAATGCAGAATTTGTTTTTATGATACGATGGTAAGTGCCTGATCTCCTAAGGTAACTCCTAAATAAACATCTGTTCTCATTTTTTATTGTCAATCAGAATATAAGAAAGGAAAATATCTTGTTTAATTTGCCCACACAAAAAACAAACAACATGTAAAATAGGTGTACAAGTAATAATATGTAATTATTCATAAAACAACTCATATTTAAAAAAAATGAGGAAATATATCAAGTAGACTTAAGCAACATATCTAATTATATTCTGAATGGTTAATCACGCATGCGTCAATAAAATGATTACCCATCTTAAAATGATTGATTTGATAAACTCGGAAAATCTTACAGCAGCCGATTTTGTAGTTGTGTTTTAGTCAATGACTTTTTCATCAACGTGTTTCTTCTTTTTAAAGATGTTTCTCGGTCTTCAAAATAATGTTACCTGTTAGCGTTCTTGTGCAAGTTTGTTTATAAGCGACCAAATTAGTTAAATATTGGACATAATTTATATTTACGAAAATTCAAAACAAGTTACTTGCTGGAAGAAGATTTTGAAATATTGGAATGCTACGAAGTTTATTCATAGTTTAAAAGTGAATTTTCAACGTTCTATCACTGTTAACATTGGATGAATATTCAGGGAGAACCAATGACGTTTCGTCTTTGCCCACATAATTATCTTTACATCAAAATATTTTAATGAAACATTTCTGGTTAATATGATCATTCTAAGTACATTGGTTTATATATATTTATATATAACATCTTTTAATTTTACTGAGTCATTGCCAGACACATCAGGAACTGTGTCGTTTCTAAGTGTGTTAGTAACCATAAAATAATCTATATAATAAACTATCTTTTTACTTTACTGAGTTATTGCCAGACACATCAGGAACTCTCTCGTGTCTCTCTAAGTGTGTTGGTAACCATAAAAATAATCTATATAATAAACTATCCTTTTACTTTACTGAGTTATTGTCAGACACATGAGGAACTGTGTCGTTTCTCTCTAAGTGTGTTAGTAACCATAAAATAATCTATATAATAAACTATCTTTTTACTTTACTGAGTTATTGCCAGACACATCAGGAACTCTCTCGTTTCTCTCTAAGTGTGTTAGTAACCATAAAAATAATCTATATAATAAACTATCTTTTTACTTTACTGAGTTATTGCCAGACACACGAGGAACTGTCTCGTGTCTCTCTAAGTGTTTGAATAACCATAGAATAAAAATGGACAAACGAAGCCATGTAAATATCTGTTTTCTAACCATCTAAACAAGTTGGAATATTTCAGCTACGTGTCTTAAATTTAATGGATTTATCTCGGTATGATGTGCAAGGAGACGAGAATTATCTTTAATTAAACATCATTTTAGGACATTAACATCCACGCAAGACCAACTGTATTCAAATGAATATAGTGTAGGAAACAATTTGAATGGTTGATAACTTCAAGTCAGTCATTTCGTTGTTCAGTAACATTCGATTTGTGAAATATTCACTATATTTAGGAACAACTGATAAATATCTGCATATCTCTTGCAGACAGAAGAGGCAGGAAATCACGCTTTGGGCAAAGTCTGATGCTGTGGAATTCGTATGGCAGACTTGGGAGGAGTCCGACAGCTGACTCCAACTCCCACCCAATCGCTTGTACCCTCCAATTTGAAGTTTGAGATAAGTACTGGTTCTCAGCTATTTTTTTAGCACCAATAAGTAACATGTGCTGCGTGGTTGTTAATTCTGTTGGGCGTAGCCTTTGCTTTAACTATTGTTTGATAGCTTGAGATTTATTGTAGTTTACGAAGACCTATAATCAATTTAAAAATTGTATCGGAAGATTTGTTTGTTTGTTGTTCAGCACAAAGCTATAAGATGGGCTAACTGTGCTCTGCCCATGCAGCTATCGAAATCCAATTTTTAGCGTTATAAGCCCTCAGACTTACTACCGAGCGTATCAGAAATGTGTTATTTCTGAGATTGATATCGTATCGTATTTAAATCTCATAAACTTTCACAGAGTTTTAGGTAACTTCCTTTTTTTTCTTTTCTTTTTAATTTGAAACTCAACAATTAAATGGAAATATTGATCGTTACCATGGCTACTGCATGCGGGACAATGGTTGTTCAGTGACGAGTCGCAAGTCAGTGGTTCTTGGATTTTTTAATCTAAATACATAGGACATTCAAGAAATTTCGATTTCAAAATGTGGTCGATGTGTCCTCTTTGGAGCTAGCAGGTCTTCCACGTTCATCAGTGAGAATACAATTCCAAAGAACAGTTATTTGACATCTTTATTAGCTTTCACATAAATAAAGTACATCAACGTTACATGGGCATAGAAGTAATATCAATATGTAGAAACTTTCTTTGTTTTATTAATTATTGTAGCAACTTACAAGGCTATTTCTGTATCACAGGAATGTGACATCTCCCTGGTGCACCAGTTTTTAAATTAGACATCAAACAAAGTGTTGTTTAGTAGTTGAAGCTGTATTTTAAAACTGGTAGATATACAGTTGACAAGGCGTAGGTTTTTCATATTTTTGACCAGAATAACGCTTTTAGTGTGATTACAAATGCAAAAACCGTTAGGTCTTTTTTGTTTAAGATTCTCTTTCCGGGTGACTAATGAAAGCGTAATTTTGACACCATTTTCAAAAGATATTTTTCTATAAGAATGTAATATAACAAACAAGACTGTATTGTTACTTGTTTTGGCGTTTTTTGTACAGTGACATAATTAAACACATCTTAGGTTGGCTGCTTATTAAACGCATGAAAAGTTGAAACCAGTAATTCAATATATAACATTCCTCGGAAGTCCAAACTATGCAATATATATAAGGTACAGAACTTTCCGGGGAGTCACGAAAACTTCCCGACTATTCACGAAGTACAGAATTTTCCGAAGAGTTATCGAAACTTCCCAACTATTCACACATCGATTCGAACCTCTGAAATATTTCTTTAGCGCACATTTTAAATAAAATATGTATTCATAAAAACAACTAGAAAAATGTGAATCTCCAAGGATTTTTTCATGATCGTATTAGATTTTTATTTCTTTAAAAGCTATTTGAAACCCACAGAAGGGAAACTGATAACAATATTTAAACACATATTTCAGAATATATGAAATTTAATAAATCAGTTATTTTCGTATTCGATGACCAGGAACCCACTTTGAGACTAATAATGGTTGGAGACGGCTTGAATGGGTAATGAATATACCTGATGATGACAAAACCTTGTCGAAACGTTGTACATTTGCTGTTATGTTAAACTTATATTAAAGTTCTTCTTCATTATCCATTCAAGCCGTCACCAACCATTATCAAGTAGTTATTTGTCATGGTTAATAAAAGTGTATTAAACATAACACACTGTTTTAAGTCAGAAAAGAAACACTTCATGCATTTACTACATTTTATAAGATCGTAGATGTTCGTTATTAACGCTCATATAAAACATCTCTGTATAGCGTTGCTTATCTATTCTGTTGTATATTTTTTTTTTTTGGCAAATACAAAAATATACTTGTTAAATTAGTTCCTGTGTTTCCTCACTATATTAAAAATAGAAATATCTCTTCTTTCAACAAACGAACATGACAAATTAATCATTTTGAAAGATATCCGATCTTCATGGAACGCCATCTGTAAACGAAGCCTCTTAAGTCATCATATTTGATTTACAATTTTTCCAACTAGATTTTATTTAACGAAGTTTAAGTTAGGGGGCTGCAGTATGAATTGTTCTAACTCTAAAAATTTCGAATCATTAAAGCGTAAATACTTTGATATTTCTATAATTTGCTAATCATTGAGGTTGAATTGCTGAAAAATTTTAGCAATTCACATGAGTGTACTGACTGTTTAAATATTTTTTCTATTTTTGCCTTGTCAAATGTTCTAATACCGTAGCGAAAACTATGCGTTCTATGGTAGAACGTCACGCCTCAAGTTCCTAACGGTCAGCTTGTTAAATAAATAGACACTAAAGAGTAGTAGCACGAAGGTTTAAAATTAAATACCTTATCATTGACACTACCAGATGGCGCTTATTATTATATGTAATTATAGTTATAATATCAGACATTTATTTAGTATAATCCAGTTATTATACATCCGTCAGTGGTATGTCTACGGACTTATAATGCTAGAAACCGGGTTTCGATACTCGTGGTGGGCAGAGCACAGATAGCCCAAACACACTATTAAAAATTATAATGAAAATGTGTTCAATGGTGTTAAGTACCAAAATATGGTCAAGACGTTTCGTGTGTCCGTCCTATTTATATTTTTATCGATACGGTACTTAGATTTCGAGAGTTTCTAGCCAATCACATTCAAGCGAAGTAAATAGCTATTCTTTTGTTTGTTTGTTGGGTTTCGCATAAACTACAGGAAAGCTATCTGCACTAGCCGTCCCTAATATTAAAGCGATAGACTAGAGGGAAGACAGCTATATATATTCAACATTACCCACCGCCAACTTTTGGGATATTCTTGTAAGACCGAATAGTGGGGTTTAACCGTCTCGGTGTTTAACGCACAAACGACCCCAACGTGTGGAGTCCGATTTTTTTTTTTCACTAACGGGACTCTAAACACGAATCTAAGGGGCACAGTCTAGCATGTTAAATACTGGGCCACATTCGGCCCTAAAGTATATAAAATTAGCTTCGTTAAGTGACGTAGTAGGGCGTGGAGGATAAAAATAAATAAATATACATACATATATATATAGATAGATAGTTAGAGAGAGATATCCAGAAAAATTTAGTTTTTTGGTCATGAATTATATATCACAAACAATAGAATTTGCACGTTTGTTCTCACACATTTTCAACTAGATACTGAATTATTCATTCAAAATATAGACATTTAAAACAACCCTGTAATACGTAGCATAAATATAGTCTGATGAAGTTGGAATTGTCATTTATTTTGTCCTACTTACAATAAAACTGACACACTAAAAAAAAAAGCCCTTACATTGTGCAAACATAGTTATAACTTATTATTATCTAAAAGCTAACAACACATTATAATTTTTTTTCACAAAGTATCTCAGTATTTTCTAAAGATGCATACTTGTTCAGATCTCTTCCATGAATCACTTGGACGAAAGTTACAGCCTTTAACACAACCACTGTAAACACTTGTACAATTACTCTGATGTATATACACCAACGATTTGTTTAATAGTTAATGGATTAGTCAAGTTATTTCAAACACTTAGCTTTAGTGCTACGATCATTTCAAACATTCGTGCAGTAAAAGTTAAATAACATTATATACCATCCATTAATACTTTTCTTTTTACTTCGGCTTATAACCGCCCAGTTTTAATGCTTCACTAAAATTTCTAGAAACATTTTAAATCGAGTACTCGAGAGATGGCACCACACGTTAAAAGGAACACGAATAGAAAATGGAATATAATATTTGTAAACAGGACTAGTTTGCATTACAATAACTTCTAGATACAAATTATGATTTCATTCCAGTGTTCGATTTTAAAGGAAATAATTAGGCATATGTCTCAAAGATACAGGTAGTTGTAATTTCCACACGGGCGATGACGTCATCACATCTTATCGTCACCAAATGCTTCATTTGAAAATACATTTTCTCTGGATGTCACTTCTGTGTTGCTTTGGTCGATAACAGTGTTCTCTTTCTGTGGCTGTTGTACGTATTTGTAGAAGTACGCCATGATGGCGAATACCAACATGACTGCGACCATTAAACTAGCAAACATTAAAAATTCAAACGACTGAAAGAAAAACAAAGAATAGATGATAAATATTAAGCAACACAGTTAATATCTTGTGCTAATCTGTTAAGTTGTTGTTATTAAGCAACACAGTTAATATCTTATACAAATCTGTTAAGTTGTTGTTATTAAGCAACACAGTTAATATCTTGTACTAATCTGTTAAGTTGTTGTTATTACGCAACACAGTTAATATCTTGTGCTAATCTGTTAAGTTGTTGTTATTAAGCAACACAGTTAATATCTTGTACTAATCTGTTAAGTTGTTGTTTATAAGCAGCACAGTTAATATCTTGTACTAATCTGTTAAGTTGTTGTTATTAAGCAACACAGTTAATATCTTATACTAATCTGTTAAATTGTTTATAAGCAGCACATTTAATATCTTGTACTAATCTGTTAAGTTGTTGTTATTAATCAACACAGTTAATATCTTGTACTAATCTGTTAAGTTGTTGTTATTAAGCAACACAGTTAATATCTTGTACTAATCTGTTAAGTTGTTGTTATTAAGCAACACTGTTAATATCTTGTACTAATGTGTTAAGTTGTTGTTATTAAGCAACACAGTTAATATCTTGTACTAATCTGTTAAGTTGTTGTTATTAAGCAGCACAGTTAATATCTTATACTAATCTGTTAAGTTGTTGTTATTAAGCAACACTGTTAATATCTTGTACTAATGTGTTAAGTTGTTGTTATTAAGCAACACAGTTAATATATTATACTAATCTGTTAAGTTGTTGTTATTAAGCAACACAATTAATATCTTGTACTAATCTGTTAAGTTGTTGTTATTAAGCGATTAGTACAAGATATTAACTGTGTTGCTTAATAACAACAACTTAACAGATTAGTACAAGATATTAACTGTGTTGCTTAAGAACAACAACTTAACAGATTAGTATAAGATATTAACTGTGTTGATTAATAACAACAACTTAACAGATTAGTACAAGATATTAACTGTGCTGCTTAAGAACAACAACTTAACAGATTAGTACAAGATATTAACTGTGTTTTTAAGCAACACAGTTAATATCTTGTACTAATCTGTTAAGTTGTTGTTCTTAAGCAACACAGTTAATATATTGTACTAATCTGTTAAGTTGTTGTTATTAAGCAACACAGTTAATATATTATACTAACCTGTTAAGTTGTTGTTCTTAAGCAACACAGTTAATATATTATATTAATCTGTTAAGTTGTTGTTATTAAGCAGCACAGTTAATATCTTATACTAATCTGTTAAGTTGTTGTTATTAAGCAACACTGTTAATATCTTGTACTAATGTGTTAAGTTGTTGTTATTTAGCAACACAGTTAATATATTATACTAATGTGTTAAGTTGTTGTTATTTAGCAACACAGTTAATATATTATACTAATGTGTTAAGTTGTTGTTCTTAGTTCACTCTACAAAGCAATTAAAGACTTAGATAATGTTTAGGTTTTCTAAATAAACGTTTAAATTACATATGGTAGCATCTTTTATGAAAGAGTTGGTTAGTTTGTTTAGAATTTTCGTGCAAAGCTACGTTAGGCCTATCTGGGCATAGACGTGCCTAAATTCTGAACGAATAGACTTGAGGGAAGGTAGCTAGTAAACAGCACCCACCACCAATCCTTGGGATACTATTATACGGCCGAGTAAGGGGTTTAGTTTTGGTTTTCAATTTCGCGCAAAGCTACACGAGAGCTATCTGCGATAGCTGTCTCTAATTCAGCAATGTAATACTAGAGGGAAGGTAGCTATCACCACCCACCGCCAACTCTTCGGCTACTAAATAATGGGATTGACCGTCACTTTATAACGCCCCCACGACTGAATGAGCGAGCATGTTTGGTGGGACGGGGGTTCGAACCCGCGACCCTCAGATTGCGAGTCTGAGTCATGCCTTGACCCCGAGTAATGGGATTAGACCCTCACTATCATAGGGTGATTTCGGCCCCAAATTGCGGCGTGACCTGCGTTTCTGCAATAACAGCTTGCGATTCCTAAACCCTCGGATTCACAGTATGGGCACCCTAAAATCTAGGCTACACGCGGCCACAATCTACACACTGTAAAGTAGTAAGTAGCAGAAATATATTACATTACATTTAACGTAATGAAAATTTACCAAAACGATACAATTTATACAAAATGAACCAGAAACTTGTAACTGTATGTCTTTCTTGTAAATACGAGTCAATAATTGAAAAAAAAATTATTAAACACCTAATAAAAAAAAGGTATTTCTCCAAAACTTACCTGTCGGTGGAACAGCTGTAGCTTAGCAACGATTACTACAATCAAGTTTCCAAAAGCCACGGTTAAAAGCCACGCAGCCTGCAGCACGGACTTCATGGATGCTGGAGCCTAGGAACGAGAGTTGGTTCGATCAAAATAGTACTACTAACAATAACACAAATATAACAAAACATTCCCACGCGCGTGTATGTTATTCAGAGTCAATTGGTGTTACAAATGTTTAGTGATGAACTTTTAAAACATCCCAACGACGAACAGTAATATCAAACCGCTAATGTCAGACGTCCTCCATCTTCAAATGTATTCATTTCCTGCTCTTGAATCACGATTCGACATCACTTAACTCATGACAAATCGTCAAAGTACGTTTTAGACAGGCCAGTACGCAGAATGTTTAAAAGGGGGGGGGGAGTAGGTTCTAATTTGTGAGAGGGAAAGTTAACACGTATTGTGCAAATGCTACTGAGCTCTGGGGGCATGCGATTATTTCAAGCCAAAAGTGTTTATGCTTCATCAGAAGAATGTAGACTATGTACAAAATGTTGAATACCACAAGCAGCTGCGCAATAACTATATAAACATAATTTCTTTACGTCACAAAAATATGGGTTCGACCGATCCCCCTCGAACCTCCCCCTTACATATACAATATTCAAATTGTACACGTACATTTACTTGGATATATAAATCAATGGCACTACTGTACAATATTCAAATTGTACATGTAAATTTACTTGGATATATAAATCAATGGCACCACCGTACAATATACAAATTGTACACGTACATTTACTTGGATATATAAATCAATGGCACCACTAATTTGTATATTGTACAAGTAAATGTACATGTAGATTGATTTATATATCCAATTTGTATATTGTACAGTGGTGCCGGTACACGTACATTTACTT